CACCTTCCCCTATCTCTACAGAAAGCACCCCCTCTGCCTCCCCCATTGCAAAGAAGGCAAAGGTTCTGACACCTGCAGCACAGGAGAAACTGGAGGATTCTGTCACCTCTGCCCCATCCAACAGAAATGCTTGGCAAGGCAAGAGGATTGTGTTTGAGTCAAGTGACTCAGAAGAGGAAGTAGTGGTGCAGAATGCCACTACTCAGGGGGAACCACACATCTCTCCTCCTGCTTCTACAAATGATCAACCTCTGGTGGTTTCTTCACCAGAACACCAAGAAGATAGCAGAAGTTCAAACTCTGCAGAACCCCTACTGAACAACTTCTCTGCCCTAGATAGGGAATTCATCAGGGTTCTTGCATGGAGAAAGTGGAGAGTGGGACCTCTCACTGAGCTACTTAAGGACTTGTCCTACTTCATCTCTGAGGAAGAAGAAGTACTCAGATGGGCTGACACAGAAGATGTGGAACAATGCCTGAACAAGGACTTCCTTCCTTCTGTCCTACAGAAAAAGAAGGAGAAACTCCAAGGAAAAGCTCCTCTGTTCAAAAAATCACCAGAAGACCATGTAAAGGCTCTTCAAGAGCATGAACTGGATGATTTTGATGCTTGGCTGGTTGAGAAGAAGAGGAAGGAATCAATGATGAAGTTTCGACATAATGCACATGGAGAAGGTGAACCCTCCACTGCAAATGACCTACCCTTGGTCATGGAGAAGCTTATCCAAGAATGGAGGGAATCTCTGTTCACAGAAACCGTACTAGAGGTAATTCCCACAACCATTCCTTCTCCCCCTCCCTCTCCTAAAATCACTTCACCTCAACCTCAACAGAATTCCCCCTCACTCTCACAGAAAACCATCTCTAAACAGAACACCTCCTCACTTCATCAGAAACCCTCTTCCAAACAGAAAACCCCTACACCCCAAAAACCCTCAATCTCCAAATCTTCATCTCTTTCACCCTGCAAACTGTTCTCTCCTCCAAAGAACAAATCCCCATCCCCTCCCCCATCCTCTCAAAGACAAATTATCCAATACCAACCCCAACAGATCATTTCTTCATCAACACCACCTCAACAGAAATCCCCTTCACCTACCAAGTCTGAACATGAAGTAACCCCACAAGACTCCCATCCACCACACCAACCTGCAGCTCAGCAAAAACCTGAATGGTTTCTGAGAGATTCTGATCCTACAACCATCTTCCCCATCTCTGCACCACAAGGTTATTCTAGGCACTCTACTGCCCCCAATCCCTCCCTCAGAAAGAAGAAGAAGGTGATCAGAAACAGAATACCAATCTACTCCTCCTATGAAGACTCCTCTGACATGGATGGATTCATGGTCAGCAAATCCTACAAGGCTACTTCAAAGAGACAAAAGACCCCTCCTCTGACTCAACTTGAACATGAACTTATTGTTGAATCTCTCTCCTCTGTCCAAGAACATCACCCTTTGCCTAAGGGAAGAGGTCTAGAGATGCCTCCATCTGATGGACCAGAGAATCAAATTCCCTTCAACAAGTTCGTTGAAGCAGCAGAAGACTTTGGTGGACAACTCCTCCATGGCATGAACAAGTTGATACAGATCAATGATAAGCATTATGGGCACCTTGCTCATGTGAATGATAATCTCAACTCTGGGATGCAGTTTATCTCAGATCGCTTTGAGAATCTCACAACATCTCTCAACAACTTCATGGCTTCCTCAACTGCCAAAACAGATGCGCTGTCAAGGGAAGTGGAAGGTATCCATAAGACTCTTTTCACCTTTCATCAGACTCTGATAGCTCAAGGAAAAGCAATTGAAACCATCTCCTCAAATATTGATGATCTTCAATGGGCTGATACAAAGTCAAAAGAACAATTATTGGACATAGAGGAACTCTGCAAAGTCCACCGTGATCAAGCCAGGACTCTATTTGCTCAAGACAAAGAGAGATACCAGAAGATGGTTCTCTTAGAAGCCAGCAACAAAGATATCATGTCTGCCATTCAGAAGCAACATGGGCTTATTGAAGGTCTTACATCTGTGACTCAGACCTTACCAGAAACCCTGGAACAGATTGCCTCTACTCAGGCCACAGAATTCCAGAAACTCTCCCTTCTGCTTGGTGATCTCGATGATGCCAAAAAGGGGGAAGAAGGCCCTCATCTTACAAAGCCCAGGACCACCAGAACCTCATCATGTGCTGAACCAACTGTGGATCCCACACCTTACTTTGAAGCTGCCCTTCAGAAGAAAAGGCTAGCTGGTGTCCCTAGACCTCCATCCCCACTGAAGAAAGGATCTAAGCAGAAGAAAGCTCTAAGCTTTAAAGAATGGAGACTGGGAGGTTCTCAGGTGATGTCTGCTACACAATTTGATGAAATGAAGCAGAAGATGACCTCTACACAACAACAGAATCTTTATTTGGACCATGATGGTCATGTGAAAGTCAAACATGGTGGATCTCTGGAGGAAGCAGAATTCTGGTTTCACAACAGTATTGTACCAGGAAAAGATATCCATGAAGGTGTTCTAAACTACTTAGACTGCAAACTCTTACCCGTTTGGGCTTCTTATCAAAGAACTGGAAATCTGGCTGGAATCAGAAAAGAGGTGAATGCAAAACTAAAGAGACTACAAGGACTGGATGAACAAGCAAGAGGTGAAGCTGCAAAGGCTATTATGTAAACAATACTCTTGTAATCCACCTGAATAAAACAACATCTCTGTCTCACACTTTGTAAGGCAATTCCTCAATCTATGGCTTTTCTTTACTTTCTGTTTGTGTTTGTTTGTTTGCTTCTTGATATATTATCTGCTATCTGAATGTACTGCACTCTTACTATTTTCCTATGCCAAGTTGCCCACCAAGATTTTAATGGAAGTTCTAAACTTTAATTCTTTATGGTGAAGGCACTTCTCTGGAAATAGTTAAAGGGTTTTGGCATCATCAAAAAGGGGGAAATTGTAAGGAATATCTGTAATTAGATTTTGATGATGCTATATTAATTAGGACTTTAAAGTACCCCTTTTAGAAATTATGTATTAGAATTTTCCTTTGTAAAGTTCTTAGCATAATCGACTACCAGAAGGCCTCCTCACCAGAAGACCTCCTGACAGAAGATCTTTGGCTCTCTGACGAGGAACAGAAAACCTCAGGGTCTCTGTTAGCCTTTACTTTGACAGAAACCCTCCTGGTTCTCTGTACGCTATTATCAACAGAAGTGCTCAAGACCTTCTCTGACCAGTTCTCTGCTAAAGACACCAGAAGGCCTGACACTTGGAAGAATTCCATAAAGCCGGGAAGTCAACTGAAAGATTCCTTCAAACGGCTAGGAGACTTGTACGGAAACGCTACAGTGCCAGCATTAAATGCTCATTTAATGCTCCCCATGCTCCGTAGAGTAATTGCAGATGATTGGACGTAATGTCAGGATTACTTTATCCCAAAATAGTAACCCGCCAACTTTGCCGGGTCCTACTGGTCAAGTCAACTGCTCGCGCATTAAATGCAGTTGTCCTCCTTCACCTCCAACGGGAAGACAACCCTCAGTATAAAAGATACACTACGAAGAACAACCGGATAACTTTTGCTCTACTAACTTTGCCAACTTCACCACATTCTTTGCAAGAAAAACACATTCAAATTATTCAAGGCAAAAAGGTCCTCTTGAGAGTCAAACTCTTCATCCTCAACAAGAGAGACACAAGTTGGAAAGAATATAACTTCATATCATTCAACAAGAGCAAGGTTCCAACAGTTCTTCAACAACTTCAAGCACTTCATCTACAAATCTTTTGTAACGAAGCTAGTTGGAGGAACCCCTGTTTCAACAGAAACTCTTCTTGTTACAAGAAGGACGTCCAAGTAACTGGAGTAGTGAAGTGGTGATACTTCCGGGAAGCTCAGTGAAAGGACCAGTCTTAAAGGAAGCCAGGCAGTGCATCCCAGGAGACATCTAGGCTTGAAGAAGACGTGGAGAGCTTCTTAAGTGCTAGGACTAAGGCGTTGTAAACGGTCGTTTTTACAAGCTTAGTGGAACAGTGGATTAGAGAAACGAGTTGTTCCTTGAACCACTATAAAAATCCCTGGTGTCGTTTACTTACTGCTTTAATATTTGCACTTAGGTAGAACTGTCTAACTCCTTAGACTTGGTATCTGTGTTCAGCAGAACTTGTCTTACGAGTTAACAGAAGGCCTACTGCCTTTGCTTCTCTGAGGCTAAATCAACAGAACCCCCTACCAGAACCCCATCCGCTGCCAGTCTGTTCTGTCAACAGAACAGGCTATTCTGTAAAATCTGGTACTTAGTTTAAAAAGCTAAAAACCAATACAGTCTATTCACCCCCCCCCCCTCTAGACTGTATCCAGTACAACCGAGACCAACACTCATACCCCCACCCTACACCCTACACCCAATTCCACACCCTTGATCCCTACCCCTACCCTTACCATGAACACACACTCTACCCATACCTAAAACCCTTCATACCCACCCATACCTACTTGTAGGGGTCGGGGTAGGGAAGGAAGATATGGGTGGGGTGGAGGGTGGGGTAAGGGGTCTATGGTCGGGGTGGGTGGTAAGGTCTAGGGGTACGTGGTTGGGTGGGGTAGTGGGTGGGTTAGGGTGGTGGTTAGGGGTAAGGGTGGGGGTACTGAGTAAGGTTGGGGTTAGGTAGGGAGTTGGGATAGGATGGCGGTGGGTGGGGCCGGGAGAAGGGTGGAGCCGAGGTGGGAGAAGGGGTAGGGTGGGGGTAGGATGGCAGTAGGGTGGGGTATGATGGCGGTACGAGGGTGTGGGTAGGATGGCGGTAGGGTGGGGCCGAGGTAGGGGTAATATAATGAGGGTGGGGGTAGGGTAGGGTGGATTGGGGTGGGGTTGAGGTGGTAGGGGGGTGGCGGTGGGGTATACGGGATGAGGGTAGGGGGTAGTTTTTAAGATTTCAAGATTAGCCGCACAAAGGAATCATAATACCATTCATGATAACAGTGTCTCCAAATAGAATCAGCATAGGGCTACATTTGAGAAGACACGTTACAAGACTGATGCGGATGTAAACGATCCTCGAGACATGGCCCCAGATTCTCACACATCAACTCGCCCGGTTGCGGAAACTTTTTCGCTCATATCCATTGTGGACGTTTTGAGCACGCAGGAACCCGAACCCCGCGGTCGCTCAGTGCAGATTTAATTGAAGTCAAGGATCTCGAATCTCCCACTGAAAATGAATCAGGAGAATGAAACGTCCCACAAAGTTTCTGCACATGAGAAGAGGAGCGCAAGTCCTGTAATTGCTGCTATCGAAAATCGAGATGCCAAGAGGCGGGCGATTGGACTGGCAGAGGATTCTTCAACCATGCTTGCTGAATCTCCTGAGTTTACAAAGCTTGATCCTCCTCCTACTTGTGCCTTGGACCCGAGCAAAAGACCGGCTCCTAGAATTCGCCGAACGAAACAACAACTGAAAGACATGGGTTCAATACTTGGATGTATTGATGATGATGATCACAGATTGGAGACTTTTATTTATTGCATTACTAGTGTGAATGATACAAAAGCTGCAGAGGATGCGCTGATAGCTTCAGGATATGAAAAGGGCTCTAAAGAGTATATGGTGCGATATAATTCGTTGATGTTGAATCAACGGTCATACGGACTTACTGTGAAAAGAAAGAACCTTGATATTAGCGGGGGCATTCGTGTGGAAGCTGTACTGAATGAAGATGGCAAATATGTATTTGGTAAGGTGCAAAAGCACCGGATGGGTTGAGGTAGAGTATCCCTTGCTCCCTTTTACTTGGTATCCTGCTGCGAAGGATACATATTACCTAGTATTAATTAATTAATTAATTAATTATCTGGAACAACTGTACTCTAATGACTATGCTTTATCGGTGATGGAACTGTATTGGGAATTGGGCAGTGTATTGCCGTATTTGTATGAGTATTACTTACCCTGTATTTCATGTGAGTTGGATGACCTATGCAAACTGATCCTTGAAATCAAATGTCATCATATTTTAAAAGTCTTTACTCTTAGACTTGAATTTACTGATCACGCAAAGGACATCAATAAGACTTTAAGCTTATCGTTGAACATGTTGGTAATTTCACTTCTTATAACATCCCATATTTATTTTTGGCAACTCCATAGGCAAGTTCAAATGAGCCTGGTAAGTTTACAGGTCTGTCTTTAAGGTTTCCGTCTCACATGAATCAGCAAATGGAAAACGCTGAGAGGAAAAAAATTTCCAATCCTAAAGTTGCTTTTTGCTGCATATTCCTTTCACCGGGTAAGCTGCTTCACACCACATGTAATATTTGAACTGCAAATGTTCTTTTTCCTTATTTTGCATGCTATAACAGAAAAACTGAGAGCTGGTGTTCAATTGATTTGAGCAAAGTATTTGAGTCCTTGCTTTTGAGTTCACAAATTCACATACAATTGAATGTAACTAACAGAGAATCACAATTGAATGTATTATAAAGTTACATTCAATTTATATTACTCATCAGTTTGGTTTATTAATCTGCAGTTAAAAGAGAAAGTCAATTTGTTTGATGAGTGATATCTGCAAAGTTCAGTTCTTCCATCCCTTTAAAAAACCAGCCAAACTGCACAAAAAGTGCAGTTCCTTTCCCTTTAGTTCTTCTTCTCTTCTTTGGCTTGCTTTTAAGTCATAGTAATGTCATAAGAAAAAATCTTTATTACATCTCTTCTTTAAATAAGATTTTAAAAAACATTAGTGGCAAGATGATAAAAAATCACAGTTTTCTCCCATTCTTTATTTTCTTATTTGTCTATAATATTTTATAAGATGAGTGTGGCAGAGATGCGCATGTTGCGTTGGATGTGTGGGCATACTAGGAAGGACCGCGTGAGGAATGAGACAATCAGACAAAGGGTGGGAGTAGCACCTATTGAAGACAAGATGAGGGAGTCGCGCCTACGGTGATTTGGTCATGTGCGTAGAAGATCGTGTGATGCACCTGTCAGACGAGTTGAAATGTGTGGAGAAGAGGCAGGGAAGAGAGGGAGAGGAAGACCCAAACAGTCGTGGGTTAGGGGAGTTCAAAGTGATATGCTTCTTCTGAGGTTGGATGAGAGCATGACTTTGTAGAGAGCTAAGTGGAGGTCGGGTATTCATGTGGAGGAGTGATCTCGTATCATCTTTTCCCATCATCTTTTTTTTTCCTTGTTTTTTATCCTTATATATAAGCATTATTTGTATCATTTTTATTATCTGTATCCTTTTTATTTTATCATTTTTATGTATATTCATCTCTTTTTATATTATCTTTTTGTAATAGCTTATCTTTCTTATCTTTATTTTCTTTTCTTTTCTTTTGGTGGTGATATCATGTATCGATTCATGTTAGTAAACCCCAATATCTTTTGGGACTAAAGCTTGGATGTTGTTGTTGTCTATAATATTTTAAAATATACTAATTGCCAAGAGATTTAAAAATGCAATTTCTATTTGTTCTTTTGTTGTCTTCTTAGGCTAACATTTTTAACACATATACGGTAAGAAAAGAATGAATTGCAGTTCTTTTTATTTAGTCTTTTTCTCTTATTCCTGTGAATTGATCTTGAACCACAATAATAGCTTAAGAGAAGAAAAAATTCCTCTATTCTCTTTGCTTGTGGGCTAATTTTTTGGCACTATGACAACAAGAACTCGAATTGCAGGTTTTTGTTTAACTTTTTAACTTATTGGGCTAAGGTTTCTAACATAGAAAAGGCAAGAACAAAAACAGTACTCTTTTTTTCTTCTCAACTTGATTTGTGATCTTACAACATTGCAAAAGTAGAGAAAAAACAATTTATTTCCTTTTAATTCTTCTATTCTCGAACTAATAATTATAAAACCAAGATGGTAAGAGAACAAATATGTAGCATTGTTGTTTTGAGTAAAACTTATTTATTCTCTTGGCCAAATTTTCAAAGCAAATTAATGGCAAGGATAATAAATTTCATTTTATCTTTATTTCACACATATAATAAATAGTAGAGAAAAGCGGAGATGACCAACAACAACAACAAAAAATTAACCAAAAGCAGAAAGTTTAATGAAGATTAGTGTTTTTTGATTATATATAGTAATTGAGTAAATTTTTGATTATTCTGCAATCGTGTGCAACACAAGGATGAAAGATTTTACATAGTCATATAGATCCAAATGTGATGGACATTTTTATGATCCTATTTTGAAATATTTCTATGGTCATGTATATTTTATTTTTCTAATGTTTAAAAATTACATCCCGTGCAACGCACTGGTGAAATGCTTTCTGTTTGATGCCTATGCTTTGTGGTGAACTGAAATCATTTCTAAAATGTTTATATAAACCCATCACTCTTTTATTTGCATGTCCATTGATGTTTGAGAGACTTATTGAAGGTTAGGTTAGTCTTATTTGCACTTTCTTATCGAGGCATTTTTGTTTACTGACATTAGATAACCTCCTCTTTGTTGGACAGAGCATCAAAGTGGTTGAAGGTAGAGTAAGAGCTATTGTTGTTGTGGTTGGCTCAAATTCTGTTATGAGCAGTATACATGATTTTATATGCTAAACAGTGAAGAAGTATTTTGCATGAATACCTTACACATGCACAAGAGTAGCAATTTTAAGAGTACAAAACAGTTTTTTAGGTCTTTGATTGCTATTGAATACTTTATGCATAAAGCAAAACGGTCAAAATATTACCAACCACATGTTTGGATTATTTCCCCCCTCATCACTATGCCCACTCTTAGAGCCTGTTTGGTAGCACGAAAATCGGCTGTTTAGGCTGATTCTGCTGAAATTTATAAAGTTCTGGCTGAAGTGGCTACATTGGCTGATTCTGCTGATTTAAGAAAAAGTTCTTTTCAAAATATATTTTGTTAATAAAATAAAGAAAAAATTATATGTAAAAATAGCTAAAATGGTCATCTACAATAACTTCAGCCAATACAGCCAGAAAAGTAACCACAACCTTACTTTTTCTGCTTATTACACAATTCAGCGTGCGAAAGGAGAACTTATGTGTTTGGTGAAAAAGTTGGCTGATAAGCCTGATGCCGAAAAACAGTGTTGCCAAATACCAACAAGCAGGCAAATACCAAACTTCTACTCTGGTCTTATGTTGCCTTGTAATCTACTCTTTAGATAAGTGTATTCTAAACAATTCTACTAGAGATCTATCTATGTAATAATGTGTTGGAAAAAGTGTGTTAAAATTGCATTAAATGGTCATTTTGGGGCAATTATTTGAGTGGGGTCCACTTCCGATTTGGGTCGGAACAAAGTGGTTTCGGATTGTCTTTGCTAAGGGCTACAATTCGATATATGGTACACTCAAAACGGATAACGGGTGAATGAAAAATTGTTTTTCGAAGTTTACCCGTTGGAATGGAGAAAACTAGGAAAATGTGGGTTTTAGTGTGGGTTCTTTCCCACACCGAAAATCACAAGGGAATTTGAACCCTTTATAAAGGGAAACCCCTCCTAAGGAGTTAAGATTCATAAAGGTAAAGGCTCTCTCACGCGCGCAGGGGGGTGCGAATCAAATCCCGAAACCGAAGAACAAAAACCGCGACTTGCGTGTGCGGACGACCTGCACACACGAATGCCGTCTGAAAATCTATCTTCTAAGGATAACGTTAATATGCTGTCATTGATGTCCCAACGTTCATATGAATGTTTTGGGTTGTTTAAGGATTGGAATCAATGCCCAACGTTTAGGACATTGATGTCCAACGATCACAACCCTTAAACGGCCATTAACACATCATCATCCACCCCTATAAAAGGCTAGTAGGTGCTTTGCAAATACACAACTTTCATACACTTCGTTCACGTATTTTCATAGCTAAAACAGCATCTCTAGCACTCCATACAAACTCCTTCAGTGTTCTACCTTTGTTCACGTTCGTTGGAACTTTAGTTTGAGTGCTAAACTATTGTTCCAAGTCATCGTATCCTGGGAAACGATCGTTGCAACGCTCCTAGCACCCCGGGAGGCAACGAATACGTTTTAAGGAAATCGTGCGTAGCACGAGCTTTGGCTTATTATGCTTCATCTCATTTCTTGTTTTCTCGTTAAGTCATTTTATTTAATTAATCTTTATTAATTAATTTTCTTTGTTTTTCGAAACACATCCAACAATCTTAAAATGTATTCGTTGATTGTTCTACTACGGTAAACAATCTTAAAACTTGTAGTTTGTCACCTTGGTGAACGAACTTGTTTTTTTTTTGTGCTTTCGAATAACGTAAGAAACGAAAAATGACTTCTCAACAGAATGAAAATGTTGTTGGGCAGAATGCTTTGAACGGTTTGAACGATAATCACTCTGAAAGCGGAGCTCCGGTGAACAATAGTTCACAATGCGGTGCATATGCTTTGGTTAACCAAAGGGCTATCCCTATGGTGACCGTGCCGAGCAACTCTATGGAGAAACCCCAAAAATTTAATGGGTTAAACTTCAAGAGGTGGCAGCAAAAGATGCTCTTCTATCTCACTACTCTCGGTCTTGCACGTTTCTTGACCGAGGATGCGCCGGTAGTAACCAGGGGTGAGGTGGATGCGCAATCTTTCAACGCGGTTGAGGCTTGGAAGCATTCTGACTTCCTTTGCCGAAACTACGTGTTGAACGGGCTGCATGATGCTCTGTACGACGTGTATAGCAAATTAGCTACGGTTAAGGAGCTATGGAACGCTTTGGACCACAAATATAAGAGCGAGGATGCCGGTGCAAAGAAATTTGTCGTCTGTCGATTCCTTGATTTTAAAATGGTGGATTCGAAGACGGTATTGAGTCAAGTTGAAGAAATGCAAATGATATTCAACGAAATTCGAGATGAAGGAATGACGGTCAGCGAGTCTTTCCGAGTGGCGTCAATTATCCATTTATTGCCGCCGGCTTGGAAGGATTTCAAGAACTACCTTAAGCATAAGCGAAAGGAAATGAACTTGGAACAGTTGATCCTCCGTCTGCGGATTGAAGAGGATAATCGAAAGAACGATGGGAGACTCCCAATCGTTAGCGGCGCCAAGGCCAACGTGGTGGAGCATGCAAAAGGCTCCAAAAATAAAAATAATGGGAAGAGCAAGCTCGGTCCCGAGGGAGGCGTTTCCAAACCCATATTTAATGGAAAATGCTTCAATTGCAACAAGAATGGACACAAGTCCTCGGATTGCAAGGCACCACGGAAGAAGAAAGACTCCCAAGTCAACTTGGTGCAAGGTGGGCAAAAGAATGAAGACATCATCCTAGCGGCTGTGGTTACGGAAGTCAACCTCGTTGGATCCAATTCCAATGAGTGGTTCGTGGACGCCGGTGCAACCCGGCATATTTGCTCTAACCGGGAGCTATTCACAACCTTTGAGCCATCAAACGGTGAGAAGGTGTGGATGGGGAATTCTGCTCATTCCGAGATTGAAGGTGTGGGCAAGGTGGTCCTGAAGATGACTTCGGGCAAGGAGCTGACTCTCAACAATGTGTTGTACGTCCCGGAGATACGCAAAAGATCTCGGGCTCTTTGTTGAACAAGCATGGCTTCCGCATGGTTTTGAGTCGGACAAACTAGTTTTGTCCAAATCGGGAATGTATGTGGGGAAGGGGTATGCAGTTGATGGGCTGTTTAAGCTCAATGTAATGACTATTATTAATAATAATAATAAAATCTCTTCTGCTTACTTGCTTGAGTCTTCCAATGTGTGGCATGGTAGACTAGGACATGTTAATTTTAATTATATACGTAGATTAATTAACATGGAACACATTCCTAAATTCACAATTGATGTGAAGCACAAATGTGAAGTTTGTGTTGAGGCAAAACTAGCGAAAACATCTTTCAAATCGGTTGAAAGAAAAACGGAACCACTAGAATTAATTCATAGTGACGTTTGTGATTTTAAATCAATACAAACACGTGGCGGTAATAAATATTTTATTACTTTTATCGATGATAGCACTCGCTATAGCTATGTTTATTTATTAAAAAATAAACACGAAGCAATCGATAAATTTATTCTTTATAAGAATGAAGTGGAAAACCAACTTAATCGACGGATTAAAACGGTTAGGAGTGATCGAGGTGGTGAGTATGAAGCACCAATTGGTGACTTTTGCGCAAGTGTGGGTATAGTACACGAACGTACCGCACCCTATTCACCTCAATCAAACGGTGTTGCCGAACGAAAGAATCGCACATTGAAAGATATGATGAATGTGATGCTAGTAAGTTCGGGCCTGCCACAAAATATGTGGGGTGAAGCAATCTTAACAAGCAATTACCTTTTAAATAAGGTTCCCCGGAAAAAATATGATAAAACTCTGTACGAGTTGTGGAAAGGCAGACGGCCTTCCTATCAATATTTAAAAGTGTGGGGGTGTCTTGCTAAGGTGCTTGTACCAACACCTAAG